TTTTTTGTTCTGTCGTTCTTACATTTCGTTCTTTTGTTCTTTCGTTCCTATATTTCGTTCTTTTGTTTTTCGTCCTCTTGTTTTTTGTTATTTCGTTCTTTCGTTCTTTCGTTGTTTTGTTCTTTCGTTCTTTTGTTCTTTTGTTCTTTCATTCTTACGTTTCGTTTTTACATTTCGTTCTTACATTTCGTTCTTTTGTTCTTTCGTTCTTTTGTTCTTCGTCCTCTTGTTTTTTGTTATTTCGTTCTTTCGTTATTTTGTTTTGTTCTTTTGTTCTTTTGTTCTTTTGTTCTTTCATGCTTACGTTTCATTTTTACATTTCGTTCTTTTGTTCTTTTGTTCTTTTGTTCTTTCGTTCTTTTGTTCTTTCGATCTTTTGTTCTTTTGTTCTTTTGTTCTTTCATTCTTTCGTTCTTTTGTTCTTTCTTCTTTTGTTTTTTGTTCTTTTGTTCTTTCGTTCTTTCGTTCTTACATTTCGTTCTTACATTTCGTTCTTTTGTTCTTTTGTTCTTTCGTTCTTTCGTTCTTTCGTTCTTTTGTTCTTTTGTTCTTTCGATCTTTCGATCTTTCGTTCTTTTGTTTTTTGTTATTTTGTTCTTTTGTTCTTTCATTCTTTCGTTCTTTCGTTCTTTTTATTTTTTCGTTTTTTGTTCTGTCGTTCTTACATTTCGTTCTTTTGTTCTTTCGTTCTTTTTGTTTTTTCGTTTTTTGTTCTGTCGTTCTTACATTTCGTTCTTTTGTTCTTTCGTTCTTTTTTGTTTTTTCGTTTTTTGTTCTGTCGTTCTTACATTTCGTTCTTTCGTTCTTATATTTCGTTCTTTTGTTTTTCGTTCTCTTGTTTTTTGTTCTTTCGTTCTTTTGTTCTTTCGTTATGTTGTTCTTTTGTTCTTTCGTTCTTACATTTCGTTCTTTTGTTTTTTGTTCTTTCGTTCTTTTGTTCTTTCGTTATTTTGTTTTTTGTTCGTTCGTTCTTATATTTCGTTCTTTTGTTCTTTTGTTCTTTCGATCTTTCGATCTTTCGTTCTTTTGTCCTTTGTTCTTTTGTTCTTTCGTTATTTTGTTTTTTGTTCTTTCGTTCTTATATTTCGTTCTTTTGTTCTTTCGTTATTTTGTTCTTTTGTTCTTTCGTTCTTTCGTTCTTTTGTTATTTCGTTCTTTTGTCCTTTGTTCTTTTGTTCTTTCGTTATTTTGTTTTTTGTTCTTTCGTTCTTATATTTCGTTCTTTTGTTCTTTCGTTCTTTTGTTCTTTCGTTCTTTCGTTCTTATATTTCGTTCTTTTGTTCTTTTGTTCTTTCGTTTTTTTCGTTCTTTTGTTCTTTCGTTCTTTCATTCTTATTATTTCGTTCTTTTGTTCTTTCATTCTTACATTTCGTTCTTACATTTTGTTCTTTCGTTCTTTCGTTCTTTTTGTTTTTCATTTTTTGTTCTGTCGTTCTTACATTTCGTTCTTTCGTTCTTTCGTTCTTTTGTTTTTTGTTTTTTGTTCTGTCGTTCTTATATTTCGTTCTTTCGTTCTTTCATTCTTTTATTCTTTCGTTCTTTCGATCTTTCGTTCTTTTGTTCTTTCGTTCTTACATTTCGTTCTTACATTTCGTTCTTACATTTCGTTCTTTCGTTCTTTTGTTCTTTTATTCTTTTATTCTTTTATTCTTTCGTTCTTTCGATCTTTCGTTCTTTCGTTCTTTCGTTCTTTCGTTTTTTGTTCTTTTGTTCTTTCTTTCTTTCGTTCTTTTGTTCTTTTGTTCTTTCTTTCTTTCGTTCTTTTGTTCTTTTGTTCTTTTGTTCTTTCGTTCTTT